ATTCGAAATGCGTAATGCAGGAGTGCAGCAGTCAACAGAGCCGCAAAAGAGCAAGGGAAACTGCGCTTTTGATTGAGCCCCACAAACACATCTTAATTGTTGACAAAAATTGAAGTGAACCAAAACAACAATAAGTAAAGCACGCACAGCGGCCTAGATACCCTGTAAAAGTTAAAAAAGCCCAGCAAGAAGGGCAACTGGCATATGTGAATGCAGCTCGACATATTGAGAAAGCTCCAGGAAATATTTTATACTGAGCTGTGAACACAAAGGCAGATCAGGAATATGCCAAAGAACACTAAACTATCTAAAGATAAGCATACCCTGTACATGCTCTGCCTATATACCCTATTATATGAGCAGTCTCCCTCGCTCATTCCCGTAGACAAACAATACTTATATCTAAATGAATTTTAATGACCCTGAGGGCACACACATTTACAGGGTATAAGAGAAGGGATATGCAAACATCAGATCTGATTACAATTGAATATTGATATTGACGTTTGACCGAGCCACGCAAACAGTGCGCCAAAAAGAAAACCAAATAATAGCGCAGAGGTCGAGCGTATCCGACTGCAGAATACTTGTTCATAGCAAAGCTTTATGCACTTGCCACGCCTCCAGGTCTAGCTATAGAGAAACCCTACTGTGATTGGTTGCAGCTCAAAAGCTGTGCAATAAATCGGAATACTTCCTGAGACGAGACTAGATTCTCCAGCTGCAGCTAGCTGAGGCTCACTTGGCCATGAGCCAAAAGCCAATAGACTCGCTTCAGCATGTCGTGAGCGGGCAGTACACGTGTCCACGCTGCTGTCGCTTGTAATATTTGTAAACTGTGAATTATTATTGGATATATGAAGCTTTTAATTAATGTGAATAAAGTTAATAATGTCGCCGACACATGTCCAAACATTGCAATGCATAAATTGGCAACAAATTCGCTGGCAAATCCAACTGAATGAATTTTAATAAAGCCCGCGCAAGCAAATAATGAAATCAAATAACTGAAACAAACAACGGGAACAACAAAAATTTAAATAAATAAAGTTCGAATTATGGAAATTTTCTGTTCGCATACGGCAGACGTCATATTAGCGCCGTGGGCAGTGGACATATTTTTTTGGCGCTGAGCTGACAAAGCGCACTGAATCAATAATTTTGAAACGTTTACCACAGGCAGTGAGTGCCCCTACTCTCATCAGATGCCTCAACGCCTGCAAATGCACCCGCTCCAGCGTCATTTGCTGATCCTAACCCTCGCTCTCGCCCTCTCTCTGACTCTACCTGTGCTGCTGCTTCTGCCTCTGTCACAGCCACTGCCACTGCTACTGCCACTGCCACATCCTGTTGCAGTGCCAAATGAAGCATGAAACATTTTCAATTTGCCAACCACAAAAAAAAGAGAGAGAAATATCCTCAAGACTTTTCTCATATTTGACAAGTGCAGCTGCCAGGGCTGTTCCATTGCGTTTGCTTCCAAATAATAATAGCAGCAGTGCGGGTAAATGCCGATAACTAAGCAATCGATAGGCGATAACAACTGGCTGTCTTCACAGATATGTAAAAAATAATAATATGACTGTTCAAGTTCCAGAAGTTCTTGGCATCAACTGTATAAATCTAGGCCCACAGCTATGTGGCTCTGGTCAAAGAGTACCATAAGCAGGCATATGTAACTATATGCCTGATTTATCCATATATATGCCTGATGTATTCATCAATCTGCCTGTCAAATTTGGCCTTCTTTTCTTTTAATATCTTTTAAATATCAAGTTAAAAATTGAAGTTTCATTGCACATTTGTTCAATGATCAAGTTCAATGTTGAAATCACTTAAAATCGATAACAAAAATTATAAGCTGAACACCTTCAGAGCTAGAGCTCGCCAGTTTTTAAAAGTGAAGCACTCGATATGCCACTCTAATCGAGTAGCTTCCTCCCAGAATCAGGTAGTTTATTGGAAATAGCTCAATGTGTCATGTGCCGGGTATCTTGCAGTAGAGCAATCTATGCGCAACTACTGCAATTGGCATTTTTAAAGATATTTTCAAAGTTATTTACGTTGTGACCCTCGTTCTGAAGGCGTCATGTGGCCTTCGTCAGTGATGGCGTCGTATCAACGTTCTTAAGAGTTGAGGAGACCTTGAAATGCTAAATGCGCAAAACTAAATGTTTGGAGAGCTTAAGCTAGCTGTGTGCGTGTGTGTCTGTGTGTGTGTGTGTGTGTGCGTGTGGCTGTGTGTCTGTATTTGTTTGTTTGATTGCGTGCAATAATAATATGAAATGCCTAATGAAATGCCAAGCAGAGCCGCAAACTCTCTCTGTGTGAATGCGATTGAAATTGAAATTGAATTGAATTCGATAAAAAAAAGCAAGATTTCTGCAATATTATATAAGTCTCAATTAATTTTAGTTGCAAATCTGCTCAAGGATATCTCAGCTGCATTCAGTGGGTGTTTCCATTTTCGCCAGAATATCAATGAAATTAAATCTTTTTGCAATTTCCCGATTCACATGAATCAATTTCCCCAGCTTAATGCCATTTTCTATTTCGCGTTTTTTTCTTCATGTTTGCGAAGGCTTTGACAAGTGCTATGAATAAGTGATATGTTAAGGAGGCGCTGTTAAACGTTGAGTATTAAAGCGCTAAGTGTGAAATGCAGATCTCTCATAGAGCTGTTAAAGTGTTATTGTTAGTCTTAGAGTTATTAACAGCAGCTGTTTGAGTAAATCTGTTATTAACAGCTAAATGTTAGAGACAATGTTAATGAGCAGCTCTGAAAATGAGTCTGCTATTAACAGAAAAATGTTAGACTCCATGTTAATGAGCACCTCTTAAAGCGAGTCTGTTATCAACAGTAAAAAAGTTATGATCACATGAAATAAGATTGACTCTGTTATTAATAGACAGCCGTTTTCATATGCTGCTCTGTTAGGTTCATGCTCATTAAGCTGCTGTTAATATCTAATTATGAATATGATTTCGAATCAAAGTGGATTTATTTTTCCGTTTCCGTTGCAAATCAGTTTCTTCCTGCGCAATTCGTAATTCTTGACAAAGTTATGCAGGAATTAATGTTGGCTAGAGACTGAAAGCACTAGTTTCTACTCGTTACTTTTTCAAATTATCAAATCATCGAAACCATTTTCAGCTTTTATAAAATCAATATTCAGCTTGCATTTAGGAGCAGCTGCAGTTACCATAGTTTCATTAATATCCTCGTCTGGCAAATACACATTTAGTTTGTTTATTTTCTCTCAGATAGCAGCTTAGTGAAGTGTAATCCTTTAAGGCGATTGCCTGTTGTGGTTGCTTATCACATATTCAATGGAATATTAAAACTTATAATTGAAAATTTAATCGAAATCCGTTAAGTACGACTGCAGTTATTAAAGACAACATTTGGCCTTTTCGGCGCCAAGCAAAAGCCATTGGCTCTGTGCATGTGCACACACATGCATGCACACACATGCAAATTGCTGTATTTCTTAATGGTGTTCTATAAATAGCATTTAAAGAGTGCTGTATGAGTGAGTGAGTATGAGTGAGTATTGCTGACAGCTGCTTCTTCCTCAGCTTTCTGTCTCACTCTGACGAGAGGAGATGTAGAGGAGATGTGTTGGCTCTAAATTGCTGACGTGGGAATTAGAGTATTTTTTAAATATAAAATTTTTAAATGTTTTTACATTTTTCAGACAGAAAACTGTATTTTTTTTAACTTTATCAAGGTTAAATATGGACGTATGGCATTTTGTGTGCCTTTTTACTTTTGAAATAGCAGCGTGGTAGGCGAGATGTTGGCTTTAATGCTCAGAGACGTGGGTTGAAAGCCGACGGGCAGGCAGCGAAAGGTCTTGAATATATTTTAAGTATATGTATGTGTGTATACATTTTTGTGAAGTAGAAAATTTATTTTTTTACTTTTTTGAAAAGTAGAAAATTTTTTTTACTTTTTTGAAAAGTAGAAAATTTTTTTTACTTTTTTGAAAAGTAGAAAATTTTTTTACTTTTTTGAAAAATAGAAAATTTTAGTTTTAGTAGAAAATTAATTTTTTTTACTTTTTTGAAAAGTAAAAAATTTATTTTTTTACTTTTTTGAAAAGTAAAAAATTTATTTTTAGAAAATTTTAGTTTTAGTAGAAAATTAATTTTTTTTACTTTTTTGAAAAGTAAAAAATTTATTTTTTCACTTTTTTGAAGAGTAGAAAATTTATTTTTAGAAAATTTTAGTTTTAGTAGAAAATTAATTTTTTTTACCTTTTTGAAAAGTAAAAAATTTATTTTTTCACTTTTTTGAAGAGTAGAAAACTTATTTTTAGAAAATTTTAGTTTTCGTAGAAAATTTATTTTTTTACGTTTTTGAAAAGTAAAAAATTTATTTTTTTACTTTTTTGAAAAGTAAAAAATTTATTTTTTTATTTATATCTAAATATATTTGTGTAGGTATGTAATTGTTAATGCCTTTGCATAAATCAAAGTCTAAGAGTTGCGTTGGAAGAATTACATTGGCATTTGTGTTGGATGACTTGGCTCGAAGCCGCCGGGGTGGCGCGGTATATACGTGTACAATCAGGGGAAATTAATTTATTTTCAAAAATAATTGAATTGCACTTTCAAATACATATTCGAATTCTATTATCACCAATTTCTTAGTGTCTAATGCTCCTCCTAATGCTCGCAGACCCCGGCTCGAAACCAGCAAAAACCATTTCTATTTAACAAACCCGAATTCGAGTCCTGCTTGAAGGGGCAACATATATTTTTTTAAGAACAAAACTTATTTCTTTTATTTTTTAAATTAAAAATATGCTGCTAAATATATAAAACACAGGGTATCTGCTAGTCGGTCATTGCCGGCTTCAGCTTCAACAAAAGTCTAAACCCGTTATGAATGCTTAAAGTCTCATAAAGTGTATTTGAGGCTTTCATCAAGTAATCCAGTCTTTTGTTATCAAATTTTGTCGCAGGCTTTGCCCGAATTTATTTTTGGGGATTTCCAACACTGTTCAATCGTATTTTCAGAGCACAAACAGCAAGTTATAAATTTGTAGTCTGCGTATGAATCTGATTTCGGAACAAAGTAAACACTGTTTTGACTCTCAAGAAGATGATATAGTTTTGATTAATTGCTGTCGCCTGTTTCAAATTTCAGTTTTTATCCAAATACAATAATTGAGAAAATCGAAAGTAGCCGTAGCTACAGCCAAAAAGGACTCTCTGGCAAAACGATATCGATACAGAACGATATATATAGAACAATGATGGCCGGATCTCGGGCTCAAATCAATATATACGTACCGACCATTTGCCGTTTTCCAGAGCTAACTGTAATCGGTGGCTGTAGGGATCCGGTTCAGTTGATGCTGCCGCGCTTGCCAGCTGTGCCCAGTGAGAAGTCGGCGCCAACGGCTCTGGCCGCGGTAACGGCTGCCAGTGCCATGGAGGACGCTGTCGGCATCGAGGGCAGCGGACATTCTCTCTACGTTATCGATAGGCAGGGGCGGGTGCTGGAGCATGTGCGTTACCAGGGCACCGATTATCGTGGCGCTCTACGTGCTGCCATCAATGCCACGCCCACTCATTGGAAGGACTAAAAGCAACTTGTGATTACTCTAAATCAACACACACAAACAACTTCATCGAAATTTCACAGTGAAATATGCAGTTTTAGTCGGACAAATCAAAATGAACGAAGACTTATAGTCAACGATAAATTTGATCAAAATTGTTAAAGTGAACACATAAAAACAAAAGATTTTAATATTATTTTAGCAAATTTCGAGTAAAAAAATCAACTGTCGATAATTATCGAAACTTAGTGCAAGTCTATCAACTGGGTAGGTTAATACATCAATCTATTCCAATAACGTACATTGGCTTGATATTCGATAATGAAAATTATCAATATTGTGTTTTTATTTTAAATCGATAAGTATCGGGAAATTTATTTTTATATATCCTGAAATCGATTTACATTATTTTTGGACTTTTCATAGTCGAAGCATATGGAATCACCAATCTTGATGCATTATCGATGTATTTTGTTATCTATAATCGATCAATTTGGCATATACAATTGAGAAATAATTGATAAATGTGGAAAGTTCGCTTCATTTAGATTAAAATATACAATTCGTATGTTATTTATGGACAATTTATATCATTTGTTACATCCTGTTTTATTTGGATAACATCTTTCGCTTCTCTTAAGTTTTCTTGTAGCTGCATTTGCTGCTTCGAAAGCGCCTAAAAGCCTGCAACAGTTGTTCCAATTAGACAGAGGGGCTGTGGGCGTGGCGGGCGGTACCTGGACCAGTCGCAAATTGAGTGAGCAACAAGCTGAAAATTGGCTTAAATGGCCGCAGCAGGTGCCACATTTATGCAGTGTCTGCCGGCCTGGCTCCTTAACCCTCCTCACGCACCTCTCTCGCTCCCCCGCTGCCTCGCTCATTGTGTGTCAGTCGCCCATTTAAAGTTTCAAGTTGGCAACGCGACACGCGATAATGGTGCACACATGAGCCACCCCAGCCAGCCTCACGCTCGACTCCTGCACGCCCATCGACCCGCCCCAGCGACTTAACGTAATTTATGACTTTTGGCACTGCTCCCACCTGCCCCTTGGCAGTGGCTTGAACGGGCATTATGTTAAATTTTATGTGTTTCAACCGTGGCAACAGGTCAAACAGCGCCGCGCATTCCCAATCGAGCCACGGCCTCGAGCTACGAGCTCTTGGACTTCTGCTGCTTCAGCTGCTTGTGCTGCTTGTGCTGCCGCTGCGCTGCTGGGTTCCGGGTCGCAGTTTTGGCTCATCTCGCAGCATCGCACGACCGCACTTAAATGTCGCCAATATGATGAAAGCAGCCAAACGTATACCCTGTAAACTCAGCACATCCGATTCCTGGCACATTTTCATACCTGATCTATTCTTTTATAGACTCAATTCAGATACTCCCAATTCACACTTTAAGCACTATTCCCAAATACAATCAAAGGCTGATCAGTGCTCTAGCTTAAGCATATGTTAAAGGAAACATCAGCTGAGTGTAAATTCTAGCCTTGAGCTTTCTTTGACTTATTTCAAGTGCGTATACCCTCTAAGCCAGCACGATATTTTAACAAGAGAAGTCTGAAGAAAGCCTCAGCTTCACATGGAAAATGAGCTGAGTCGTTGCAATCATCTTTGACTGCACCATAGACACGTCTTAGACGCTTCAAATTAAAACTATTTATGCTTGAATATATATAAAAAAAATATAAATAAAAATATATATATGTCAGATGAATTGAAAGACTGCAAAAACTGCTCCGCCTAACGTTCCGGGTATCGCCTAGTCGGATACACTCGACCAGACCAATTTTTATTTAAGCTGCGTATGAAACTAGGAATCAAATTTGTTGAAATTCCTAAGTGAAACATGAAACTGGAATATAGATCTATTCATTTTTGTTTCTTTACGTGTATGCGCGGTATCTGGGCGTCTGGTAAGCTCTCTCTCTCTCTCTCAAGCAGATGCCATATGTGAACCACATACACACACGCAGGCAAACAGACAGACAGAGCAACACCTGAACTCCACGGGGCATTCAGATTGAATGGAATCGAATTTGTGTCCGTGACCGTGTCGCCATGGTGCTGATGCTCCACGTCCACCTGACGTGCTAATTGGCATCGCTGCAAATGATGAACTTACGCAAAAACAGCACCTTGAACTGATTGTTAGGCCATCGCAGGTAACATGCACAGGTAGTATGCAAATTGACCTTATGAAACGCATTTCCAAAGAATTCAATTGTCAGACAGAATGCTACAGAGCTCTTCATTGTGTATGATGTCACACGAGAGCTGATACTGAATAGATATGATAAGCTCAGGTCGCAGAGGCTGACCAAATAATAGCAGCCATAGAAACGGAAATGGCCCCAGCAGAAAAAACATTTCAAATATTAATTTGCTTTTAGTTTCATTCAGAAGCTAAATCCAGCCAGAGCGGAGCTTTCGAAACTAGATGTAAAGCTGAGTGTGGAATGAACTCGGCACAACTTTCAACGTAATTGTATTTAATATTTTTCAAATTACTTTCCCACATTTAGCAGACGAAGTTTTATAATAATAATAATAATAATAAAAATAAATAATATTTCCTCTGTGAAATGTTATCTTGTTATCGATGCTGCTGCGAAATAGTTATCGAACGTAGTATCACTCTTACCTGCTCACAGGGCATAACAGTTTTGAGCTGTTAACAAATTACTTAACTATATATTTTATTGGAAAGCATTTGCATGATTTTCTGCAAAGCTGCTTTCCCGGAACTGTTGAAGACATTTTCCGCTTATTTTCAGAACTAATCCAATTGACTTAAGCAATGAATGGCGCTGAAGCTTAGGCGACAGGACGAGGCAAGCAATTTGAAATTGAAGAGGAAGCACATACCTTGATATATATTTGCAGATATTTATAGATAACTCGACCCGATCAATGCTAATGCCAATTTAAATATCTAGCTCTAAGGCAGGTGGAAATCCCCGGTGTGTTGCATCAAGCACGGATTGCGCGCTGAGCGTTTAATGCGCAACTCGCTTAAGGTGTCGCTAAAACCAAAAACAAAAACCAGAAACAACAAACAAACAGACAAAAAAAATAGAAAAACAAATAAACAAAAAACAAAAATAACAACAAACATATCTAATTAATTAGTAAAGCTATACGAAATGTTGCCCCTTCACGAGGCTGAGCAGTGGCAGGCGAAGGCGAAGGCGAGGGCGAGCGAGCGGGCGGGCGGGCAGCGGCGGTGGCGGTGGCGTAGGCATAGCCGAGCACCAGCACCAGCACCAGAACCATCAGCAGTAGCAGTAGCAGCAGCAGCAACCGCCGCCGTAGCGACAGCAGCCATTGCTGACTGTCAGCAGCCAATGGGCGTTGAGCTGCGAACGCTCCGCTTTTTTTGTCGCCTCGCTGTCTGGAGCATGCGCTGAATGGGAGTGCGAGCAGCAGGACGGGGGCCTTTGGCCAGCTGTGCGAGCGAGAGGGCTGCTCAACTGTTGCTGGCCTTGGCGGCTCTGTGCGTGTGCCCCTTGCCCAAGGTTAACCTGTTGAAAGTGCATATTGCGCATACGCCTCGTTCACATGTCCAACAGGTAAGCCAACTGTGTGGGCATTGCATCCAATCCAGCTCAATCTCACCCGCCCACTGGCCTTATCTAATGAGCGATCCACAATTGCGTTTGGCGGTCAAGTCAAAAAGGGATTTTTGCTGCCAATACCCATCAAAAATGCATCATTCAAATTATATTGGGGCAAGGTGTCTGTGTGTAACAGAACAGCAACAAATATATCGATTACCATTATCGATTACTTACGATTATCGATAAATATTCCGATCTTGTAATATATTTTCGAAAATAAACCCATTAATTTCTTATATTTAGCAGAAATCGATAAATATCGAACTGCAGTATTTTTCTATAAGTCATGCATATGATTTTATAACTTTAAGATGTTTAAAACTTGACTCAAAAGATGTTCATTTTCTACAAAAATCGATTATCGATAACTATCGAAACTAAAAGTGTAGCCAAATCGATAAATATTGGCTTGCATTTTTTGTCAAAGTCAATACATAATAGGGCATAATACATACATTTTGATATCAATCCGATAATCGATTATCGATAAATAGTGATCAATCATCATATATCAATTTGTATTAGTTCTCAACACTGGGTTATAATCGAAAATGATTGAATTTTCGCATTTTTAGAAAATCGATAAATACTAAACTAGGCATTATATCATAATCGATTAAAGTTGATTTTGAATTCAGCCCACGATCGATATATATTGATCTTAAATTGATCTTAGATGATTCACTATCGACAAAACATTGATTATCAAAAACAGACATAATCGATAAATATCGAATATCATTCAAGTGTATGGGAATCTGTATTTCGTATAGGGCATCTGCCAGTCGGCTATAAGACTTTGTTGTTGTCACTGGCTTCCGTCGAAACTGCGTTTACGCAGGAGCAGCGCTGCTGCTGCTGGCGACCTTCGAATTGCTCTGCGCTGATTGGATGCATCGGCCAACAATTGCCGTCCAATGTGCTAGATGTATTTAAGTCCGTTCGCATTTCGATGCTGGTATGTTAGTTAGCCACCTTAACGCCACTCAGTGGCAACAACAACCACAGCCCCCTTCCCCACCTACACCCATTATAACTCCGCCCCAACCACCCACCGCCCACAACACTGCATATGCATAAATAATGCAAGGCTAAAGCAATGCAAATATCAAATTCCAACATCTCTGTTAAGCCTTTATAATTGGGAGTAATTACATATATCTCTATATACATGCAAAGAGGGCGGGAGACACCGAGTGGGCGAGAGATAACAAATAGCTCAAACTACAAATTTCAGGCAATTAATAGCTTCAGGGGAACGAAATGCAACTGCGCCTACCTGATGTAACGAAGAGCTGAAGCAATTACTAAACTAAATTTGGGATTAAATAAAGTTTGTCCCTTAAATATTGCTAAACATGTTTTCATAAGCTGGATAAACTTGGTTTATAAATATAGCAAGATCTATAAAGATATATTTTTAACTATATCTTATCTATCTCTTACTCTATCATTCGTCAAACTGTTATCTGTCTGTTATTCAAGTCTACTCCATCTCTCTTTATCTCTTTATCTCTTCATCTAACTATCTGTCAGTCCACTCTTTTATCTATCTCTTTATAGAA